CAGAGCACATTTTATGACCAATTCATGCAAAACTCCACGTAATCCCAAGGGGTTCACATACTTTTTCTTGCAACTATAGGTAGGTAGGTAGATGTTTCCAGGTGTATTTATCCATGTGCTGGAGAAGGAAATCACTGACAACCAGCACCTAAGACTTGTTTCTGCTGGCACAGCACTTGATCAACGTAATTCTCATCAATCACTCTAACTAAAGAGTTTTCCGAAGGGGGGGGGTTGCACTCTGCAAACCTCCCCAAAACGGTCTGCTTTTCGTGAAAACTGCCCCTTTTTTTTCAAATAAAAAGCATGAACAGCCTTGGGGGGGGGCTTGCAGAGTGCTCCTGGGCGGGTGAGGGGGCCATAAATAAGCAAAAAACAGCCCAATTTTTGTGAAAACGGGCCTATTTTTTGTCAAAAAAATTGCATGCATAGCCTTATGGAGGCTTATAGAGTGCTGCTGGGGGGGCAAAAAACGGTCCATTTTTTGCTCATTTCTGCCCTCCCCAGCCCCCAGCAGCTCTCTGAAAGTCTCCATAAGAGTATGCAGAGCCATTTTGGTGAAGGGGGCGGGGCTTCAGGAGGCAAAAAATGCTATATTTGGTGTATAAGACGCATCCAGATTTTCAGCCTTTTTTGAGGAAAAAAGGTACGTCTTATACTCCAAAAAATACGGTAGTTCCTGCTTATTTGCCTTCATTTTGCTTTCTTTACTGATTTCTCTAGATGTAGATCTAGTTGTCACAAAATTCACAGTTTTATCCATCACTTCCCTTACCTGTAAATATATGGTTTATTCTCTTCCAAACTTGCACCATGACTAATTTTTATTTCAATTTTAGGTTATAATTGATCCCAGTTCATATTACATTATTACATACAAATTTTAAAAATTGCTTTAGTTAATACATATGATGTAAATAATTTTGCTATGCTTTTTTTATATTTTTTATTTTTAGACAAACATTAAACATACAGACATAAACACACACAAAATAAAAATTAATCTCCAATTACTTATAGTGTGTCGATTGGTTACAAAACCTTTGTGTTTTTTAACAATAGTCTTCACTTGCAATTTAAATAAAGACTCATATCATTCTAATATATACAATTGTTATGGTTATTAAACATTCATTTCACTATAGCTATTATTACATACTTTTTATGTAAAATATTCTAAATTTAAGATAAATTTATATTATAACATTTACATCATCCTGAAATCATCCAATAATATTTCATCTTTATCTTCTATTCCATATAGAATTATTTATCTTTTATAACAAAGCTTTTAAACATCCTCTCCATAGTTCTCTTACAATTTATATAAAATTTCATATTATCAATCTAGTGTATCTATATATGCATTATTATCATTATTAATCATTTATTTAGCTATAACTATTATTACTGTATTTTATACATAATACTCTAAATTTA